TAATAATAATAATAATAATAATAATAATAAAAAAGTTATGTGAAAATTAATTAAGAGAGTCGTTAAAAGAGAATCGAGTTTAATTCTCGAATAAGTTTTTCCGATCATTTTAAAAAAAAAAAAGTAAACACAAATAACAGAAAAAAGTCGAGAGAAATCCGGTGTTGCATTACCGGTTGAATATATATATATATATACATACATGAAATAAAAAAAAAAAAAGAAAAGAAAAAAAAATATACACATATAGAAGGGTAAATAAAAATAAAAAAAAATAAAAGAAAAGGAAGAAAGAGAAGAAAGGATTGTAAATGTTTGGTATGAGGATTGATTGCGTTTTCCGCTTTTAAGATCCAGTTCTTCTGGATTTGGAAGTCCGGTTGGTCAAGCTGGCTAACACTGCAGCAAAAGTCGATTGCTAACTTTCCAAACTTCGTTTATTCTTACCAAGAACACATACACTTATATACAAACGTACACACACACGTGCTTATATGAAAAGAAGAGAAAGAAGAAAAAAATAAGGGGAAAGGACAAAGATAAGAAGAAATTCCATATTAAATTAGTATTCGTGTTACTACGTATATTCAATTCATACCCCATATCCCCCCATATACTTGATACGATTATGCTATTATTAATTATATTAATATCACATATGAAAAGGAACACGTGAATAAACAAAAAAGTAATTTAATAAAAAGATTACCATTTTGTTATATAACTCGTTTATTCTTTATTATTATTATTATTATTATTATTATTATTATTATGGAAATATCTCATCGATGAAAAGAAAGAAATGAAATTATTAAACAATGCGAACGAACACAACTAGTCAAAGGATTACCGTCGTATTTTTTGTTTCATTCTCTCGTCTGACTTTCATTAATTATAAATAAAAAAAATATCATGGAATATAAAAAGAAAAAAAGGATTTAAAAGAAAAAAATTGACTAATTGTAAGAGATAATGATCAACGTTTTATTTCGTTCCCGAGATACTATTTCTTTCTTTATTATTATAAACATTTAGTTGAGACACAAAGTGAAATAAAATTAATTAATCGAAAATAAATTGTTAAAAGAATAATCTTGCTTTATGTTCTTAAAATATCAAATTATGCAAAAGGAACAATGGAGAGATAAAAAATTGTTAAATTAGAAAGTTGATTAAAAGGATTGCCATTTTTTTGTAACTTCTTTTGCTATTTCTCTCTCTCTCTCTCTCTTTCAACAGACTAATTAGATATCAATGAACAAAGAAAGAAAATAATAAATTACACGTATATAAAGAAACAAAAAAAGTAAGAATAAATTATAAACGATATTTACTTTGTAACAATAATTAATACTTATATATATATATATCATAATTAAATTATAATTAATTATAATAGATATCATCGATTACGAAGAATGAGAATAAAAATTCTTATAGAAGAAAATAGAAATATATATAAAATATCAAATATCAGCAGTAAACAAAAAAAAAGAGAAAACTTCACTGTTTAAAAACGACACATACCTAATTAATATAATTAGAATATTAAACAATTTCGATCGGATAATATATTAAATACAAATTTTCGATATTAAAACATTAATTATTACAAGAGGAATGTTAATAAAAAAAAAAAAAATATACGTTTAATTAAAACAATCATAAAATATATGTAGAATGTATAAGAGTATTAGACATACCTTAAAAAACCAGTTATGAATCGAAGGAAATGTTTAATTATTGTTTAAAAGCACGGAGCATATCTACAACCCACCATTCTGTTCGAAATCCAACGTTAGACTGGTTCGTTGTCCTCTGTGAAATTCACTTTTGTTGATTGTTGTTTACATGACTTTCCTTAAGAGGTAATATCTATTTCTTACAAGTATTATTTATGTTACGCATATCTAACATATAAGGAAAGTCATATAAAACAAAAATCAATAAAAGAATATGAAAGAACTTTCGTTGAGAACAACGGTTCAGTTTTTAACATGATTTTTGTAGACAATGATATCTATGTGTTTTTATATTGAAATATTATACATTTCGTTGAATTTATAATTTAACAATTATATATTATACATTTCCTTTAATTAATTAACAATTATTTCGAATATAACGAATACTCTTTTATTAAATTTATTTATTCTTTTATAGGAAAAAAGAAAAAAAAATAGATCTCGTTATAATTATCTATAGATATATCTCATTACATACAAACACATATACATAATATAATTATGTATAGATATAAATTTCACTTCATCTAAAAAAAGAGAAACGAACACAAAAATACGATTAAAAATTGTATTCTTATTTTTGATCATTATTTTGATCTTTCTCTTTCTTTTCCAATTTTTGTTTCATTTTTGTAATCAACCTAATTCTATTAACGATAACGCGTTAGAATATTTAAAACCATTTTCAATTTAAAATTAATTTCTATAAAAATTCTTTCGAATTCATTAATTATAATAAATCAAATACATGCTATAATGCAATGACGTGATTTATAATTCGATTTGATTAATTATTATACTTTAGTTTAAATTTTGTTTTTACAGTAATGAAAGAATCAAAAGAATCAAAAAAATCATTTTTGTTGGTCAATACTTTTCTCCTCTTTCTTTCTTTCTTTTTCTTTCTTTTTTTATTCTTATATTGTAAAGTCGTGTAATATCATTGATCTTATCCTTGAAGGAATAAACCTAATCGTCGTCGACGAGGATGTCGACAAGAAACCATTTGCATCCGGAAAGACGACTCTTTACGATCAGTAAAAGGCGATCGGTGTTGACCTTCAAAGACTGTTCATAGTCATCGTTTTAACTATGCGAAGAAAGTTCTTTCCTTGAAAGGGAGACATCTTCCTTCTATTTCTTTCTTTCTTTCTTTTTTTCTTTTTCTTTTTTTGCCATGATCTCTCGTGTGATCTCATCCTAACTGTTTACGATATTATCGCAAAAAAAAAAAAAGAAAAAAAAAAGGATGGAATCGTTATGCAATTTCAAACCTTCGACAAAAATTTTACCGTTTTTCTTTCGATCAATTCCACCCCACTCTCTACCTGTTTTTTTTTCTTTTTTGTTTCTCAATTAAATTTTTATCCAATTAATATTGTATCACATTTTTTGATTCCCGATTATATATAATTTTGACAATAATACGCGAGACAATATTTGGATTCATTTCTTTTAACAACATTTTTATCTTATAATTGTATTCAACGAATTATTGTTAATTCTTTTACAACAAGATTTTTTACACATACTAATCGTTATTTTGACATTAATATTTAACAATGACTCAGAGAATATTCTTAACTATTTTCAAATGGTAACTAATACTATTCAAATCTTTC